GAACCACAGGGTGATTTCTTCCCTATTTCTTGTAGGCCCAATATCAGCAGTTCCATAGAGTTAAAAGATTTAAAATGAGAAACATGAGAGGGAAAGCTGGATTTCTAAGTGAGAACTTCTTCCCAAAATCATTTTGCCGTTTTAATTTCCAGGAGATATTATTGGCAATTTTGGGAGGGGGGGATCCCACTGGTCGTGTTCTCCCCATACACGTCCTGGTATTGCTAAATGCTGCTCAGTGGGTGTCGCTCTGGTGCCACGTTACAAAAGCTACAATGTAAAAATCGGTTCTCTAGGTAATAGCATTTCTGACAAATTAATAATGTGATGCTTTCCTCGGCCCATGAGAGTTTTCATTACATATTCCCCAACTGTTATTTACAATACGATGACAACTCGTAATTTGTCAAGAAGTAAAGAACAGCAGGAGGAGTTCTAAGAGATGCACACAAACCAATCTCTAGCGAAAGAGGCGGGGGCACTGGTCAATTTGAAAATTTGCCTCTTTTTGCCCTCCTTCGGTGTGTTTAAGTTCTGTCTTGAGATTCATCCATGTGTAGACGAAAGCAAAAGCTAAAATATAGGTATCGGCAAAAAAAAAAAAAATACTTTTCATGCGTTGGTGTAATCGCCAAAATCTCTTGGGGAAAAATTATGGCGGTTCTTTAAAAGTTAGGACTCTCTGATATAACTAGGAGAAACAACGGACTCATATGGTCATCTGGCCCAAATAAACAGTGATTTATATCGAGTGAGTAGTCAAAGACGCTGATTTCATTTTTCTGTTTTTTATTTACTTCCCTACCTTGTGCTCCCAGTGAGAGGAGGAATGGCATTTTCTAAATAATTTATTTGGAAGGTTGAAGATACAACTGGCTGACCTGCCCCTAAGTGCTGGGGGGCCCTATTAAGCACTCTTCAATATTTCAGTATATACTGTGTAATTAACTCGCCATGATGTGAAGCTGGAAGTCTAAACGCCGGCTAAAAAGGAACATTTCAAGCTGTTATTATGTAAGAAAAGACAAAAACAGACCATACCCGGGTCGGAAAAACTCCGAGCCCGTGTGAGAGAAGATGGGAAGAAAGGACAGGCGAGTTGTGAAATAGCAGAAAGTAAAAGAGATTTAGAAGGAAAAAAAAAAAAAAAAGAAAGAGGTAATGAAAAAAGACCTAGTGCTCTGAAAGCTATAAAGGAAAAAAAAAAAGAGAGAGAGAAGCAGTGAGGTAGAAATTTATGGTTTACAGCTTGTACTAAAAGCTTATATGATTAGAATCAGAGAAAGCGAGGTTCTTTTTAAAATGACTTTGGCGAGTATGCTGTAATACTCTCTAATAGCTTCTGCAAACCCAAACCAGGTATAAAAAGACAACGTAAAAATCTGTTGCCAAAATCTGGGAGACATTTCTACTAATGCAAAGTTTATGGAACAACTGCTTCTGAAAATTTACATTGCTAACCACCCCATGCTATGCTGCCTGAACCAAAGCTTGCTTGCTTATATAAAGGTAAGGAGGAAAGTCTTTCACTGATTCTACATCCTTTTCCAGATCTCCTGTGAAGTCCATGTCTGTATGAACAACACATTAAGCTACCTTCCTGTGGTGTGAGTATGCTTTTCTGGTCAGAGAATGGTGCCGTTTCCTAATTTCATCAGTGAAAACCTTTCCATGGCAGCAATTGGGTGTTTGGGAACGTGGGGACTGGAGTGGTTTGGGAGACCAATGCTGGTATGTTGAACCGTGGGATGACCATTTGCCCACAAGAAAAATGGCTAAGGAAAGGTGAAAAAATGAAGAGGTACGTATTTGGAAGTTGTGTGTTCTGGGTATTAAAAAGTAGTTTTCTTAGTCCATCTCTTCAAAGTGTCAGAGATCAAAGCAGTGGGTTGATCCTTATGATCATAGGATGAGCCATAAGAACAAGACAAGATGGAAGCTGGCTTGATGCTGTGCGCTTGACCAGGTGCTCGAAAATCAATTTGCCACCTATCGATGTGTGAAAGGGAATATAGGAAAGTCTGAGTTGACTGAGAATTAGAACAGGAAACTACTGGGGGAAATGTAGAAGCTCCAGAAGGATTCGGCTCTCAGATTGCTTTGCAAATGTCTTAAAGGGCTTCTCCTCATCTCCCTTCTTTCTTTCCTTTGTTCTCCTTTATTTGAACCTCAGATAAAGGTACTGGATTTAATCATATTCTTCCTTGATTTTTTTTCCCCCTTCAGCATCGAGCACGTTGCCCCTTTTTCCTCCTCAAAAGCAACCCATTTTAAAATGTTTAATATGGGCCTGTAGATTATATATTTTTGAAGACAAATAGGTCAGCGTGACTTTCTATATCTGTATTTTAACTCACACAAGCAGAGTTAAACTATAAATCTTTCACTCAACATTTCTTTTCTCTCTTTAGATTTATTTGTTTCTGGTGCAGTGAGTTAATTACTTCTAAGAACTGCATGATATTCTGTAAGGGTCATCCACCACCTTTCCCTTATCTTGCCCCACAGTGATAGGCTGTGGGGTTGCTCCCTATCCCATCTTCCCTGATGCTTCTCTGAAAATCTTCATCCCAGTCCCTTTGCTACCTGGACTGTTGAGGGTGGGGGAGGAGGCGATGAGAATCCCAAAGGTGTAACACGGGATGTGCAAATGTAATTTCATCAAGTGCGAGTCTGATGACTCTCAGGAATGACTTCAGCAGCTTATACCTCATGTGCTGGAGGGTCCCCGTTTCCTCCAAGGCTTGGAAAAAACCCCAACATAGTATTATCTGAATTTTGCTCATCTTTTGGGTATAAAGTATTCTCTCATTGCATTTTTAGAAAATTTATCTAATTACAGTGAGTTTAAGTGTCTTTTTAAACCCTGTTAGCTATTCCTTCAGCAAATTGCCTCTTCATATATCTTGACCGCTTTTCTACTTGGTTTCCTGTCTCCTTCTTGTCAATTTTTATTAGTTCTTTAAAATGTTGGAATATCTTAAGTGTGGATATGCTCTGGTTAGAAGTTGGCAAAATCGTCTCCTTAAAGGACATCTGTCTGTTATTTTTGTCTACAATGAGTAGTGCTGGATTTTAATGTGAATATAGCCATCATTACTTATTCACATTTTCTAGTTTAGGGTCTTTTTAAAGACATTATCTCCCCACTGCCACCAGCCTGAAGGTGTATTACTTTGGGCTTGGGCAGAGCAGCAGAATCCCTACATAGTGAATGGAGAGATTTGACCGCATGCCATCCTGGGAGCTGGTTAAACATTCTGTGTAAGTCCGTTGCCCCTACCTCAGGGGCCGGGCCTGACATGCTCTGGGTCAACAGTTAGAAGAGGTGATGGACGTAAAGTAGGGGAAAGCAGGAAAAACTGTCACCCGTGTGGATGACCTGGAGTCTACCACACGGCTCACGCACTGCCTCCATGCCTCCAAATTGGATGGCATGGGTAATGATGCAGGTGCAGTCTACCATACAACCACATGCAAACCTGGCCCATGATTTGGAGAAGCAGGATGAAGAGACACAATGGGAGCTGCAAGACCTGACCGCAGCCACCTACCAACCAGGGAAGCCAGCTGGTGGTAGCAACATGCATGAGCTGTACCCACACTTGACATTACATGAACCTTTTCAGAGTCAAGAGAGCTAATTTTTGACTCTGCCTTCTATATCACTTCTCTTATAGCCAATCCTAACTCAGAACCGAACAGAGGATGAGATTCTGGGAAAGACCTCAAGGCCGCTAATTTGATATGATTTAAAGCCACCACATGAGGTTACTGATACTTTCCCATATTCTTGCTTCTTAAAGTGTAGCTCATGGACCAGCAGGATCGGCCTTACCTGGGAGGTTGTTAGAAAACTGGAAAGAGAAACAATTTTTATTTTTTTACTTATTTTAATTTTAATTTGATTTTTTAAAGTATACATTTGATGTAAGTTTAAATATATTTGTATTATATGTTTTTTTTCTCCCCACGATACGTCAGATTCCCATTACGTTCTGGTCATCAATCTTCTCCCCTGCTTAACTGATTATAGAACCTCTTTGTTATGCATCACATTTCCTAGACACAAACTCCAATCAGATCACTGATATATGACAATGTATCTATTCTGCTTCATTTGGTTTTGACCTGTGCCTGCATAATGTCACCTGAAATTGTTTAGTTTTTCTAGTTCTTTGGTGTTGATGTCAGTGACTTTTCAGTACATTTAAATCTAATTAGGGGAGTCTCCTCTCTTTGCTTTTATATTTATGTTTCTCAGATGTCTGCTAATAAGATTAAAAAATACAAATATGTTATGACTTCCACGTTATTTTAATTCTTAGGTAACTTACAGATCTATAATTATGCTTAGTATCTACTTCCTAAGCGATTATAGCTGACATAGTGACGCATTTTATTTTTTTGAGTTTGTGTCTGGCAAATGTAGTAAACTTTGCTTATAAATTCTTGCACTGTTCTGTGATTATTTAGATTTGCCATATAAGTAAACACAGTTTCTGTAAATAAAATTTTTATAATACCTCTCAATATTTGTACCACTTATTATTTCACTGTGTTTGTTAAGCTATCTAGAACTATCTTTAACAATAGTGTGATAGGAAACATCTTTGATATTTGCCTTGAGTCTCCATTAGAAGAATGATACTTGATACAGATATTTGAAATATGATCTTCATCAAGTTAAGAAATTTTCTTTTATTTCTAACATTCTAAGAGTTGTGATCCAGATACATGTTGAAATTTATCATATTCTTTTTTACATTTACTAAGGCAATAACATTTATTCTCTTTTGCTGATCAATTTGGTAAGTTACATTGAGATATATAATAGCAAATCCTAAAAGATCCTTGGATGACTTGAGTGAACCTATCTCAATTATGATGCGTGCTTTTTAATGTATTTTCAGATTACTTTCTGTTGTAGGCAGATTTCTCTTCCCCACAGCAATGTCAACCTTATTTATTCCCAGGAATTTTTTTTTTTTTTTTTTTGGTTTAAAAACAGGAAAACATTTAATCCATTCCAAAATACGCATCAGGAAATGAAGTGAACCACAGGAAAAACACCTACGATGAAAGAAGGATATTACTGGCTTCATGCTCTTATTCCTAGAATCCTGAGGCTCTGATGTGTAAAAGACATCATCTTGCCCTTCAGATACTCCCAGATGCCCAGAAAGATATTATATACATCTGTTAAGGAGTTCTGGCCTGCTGAAACTAGAGGGGAGCTCGACAGGAAGGAGAAAGGAGCATCAATCTATAATCAACTGATCTCAGAAGAGCTGGGTGACGGTGCAGAGCCATCCCAGGTGGGTGGGCCCCTCTGATGCCCTGGTGTGAACCCGAACCCACAAAACGGGTTGGCTCAGGGAATGTGCCAGTCAGCCCATGGTCAGCTACAGCTTTGCTATTATTACATCTTCAGCCAAAGCCCTGGGGAGCAAAACCCTAAACTCCTCCTTCAAGCCCCCTGCTGGTTGGTTTCATAATTATCTCGCCTCTTCCAAATCTGAATGTAAGCCTCCGAGAGCGTGATCATCTGGGGAAGGATGTCAGTCACCTGCAGGTCTTGTAATTCATACCATTTGCCCGTCCCATGATGGAGCACATGGATCCGGTAGGAGCCCTCCGAGGGCTTGCCCTCATGGACAATGTTGGCAATGAGGTCGTAGGTGGTATTCTTATGCACTGCTTGTACTTCCTCAGACAAGTACTCTCTCAGATCCACATTTGTAATAGGAAAGTTGACAATAGTTGGATTCTTCTCCACAAAGAAATTGTTTTTAGTGAATCTCTTAATACAAAAGATGAGATATGGAGGGAGCTTGGCGAGCTGGAAGCGTTTTAGAAAGTTCTCCTTGTAGGTCTTATATTCCTTCTCCGTAATGCCGTTGAACTTGGCCAGGAAGTTGAAGAGCGGCACCTGAAGGATAATGAGCTGCTCCTTCTCGTCCTTGTGGAGGGGAGCGGTAGGGAGATACAGAGTCAGGTACATGAAGGTGGACTCCACCATTGTCTCCTGGTACTCGTCATTGTGCAGCAGCTGTTCTTTTTCTTCTGCGGGCAGATCAGGATGAGGAAGCTTTTAAGTGAAGATCCTCATGGACCCCTGGAAAACATCAGTCACAATAGTCTTTTTCTTCTTTGTGCCCCCCAGCGCTGAGTGTAGAGCATTCAGAAACCGGGACAGAAAGTCAACTCCATCCCCTTGCTTGGTGATCTGAAAGGTCTTCTTGCTGCAAAGGACAACAGCCTGAAGCATCTCATAGGGAGAGACATGTGCCTTGAAATTTCGAGGGTTCCAGAGCTTTCTCATCAGCTCTCCAAAACTCTGGACCAACAAGAACATGATATCCCCTGGAGGACGCTTGATGTTCTTATAATTGTCTTCTTCCAACAGTAGCTCCGGAGAGGAGGAACATTAGACAAAGCCTGAAGGACACCATTGGCATAGTCGTTGGCCTTTATGTTATTCAGGCCCACGATGCCTGGCAGGTAAGTGGTACCATCATAAGCCCGGGACAATTTGGCTTGCTTGTCCAAGTTTGCAATCTGCTGCTTTGTGAAAGTGGGCTTCAACACATATGTGATATCCTCCAGCGAGGAATCGATGATCTCATAGTTGTCTGGAAGGCAGTAGAATTTGAGGGTGTGGAGGTTGAGGAAGACATGGTGGCTAAACTGGACGCTGTGAATGTAGGCATGAGACTTCAAACCCCGGCCCTGAAAGTACTTGCCACACACGAGACAGGCATATGCATTGATATGTGAGAGGGAGATGGAACACAGTTTCTCAAAGTCAGAGTCCAGCACACTCCTGTTAATGGTATCCAGGTATGGGCAATGGCGGCTCCTCCGGTCCTCGGAATCCACGCGGCCATTCTTTGCTCGCACCTTCCGCTCAGGCTCAGAGTCCTCGTCGGCCTCCCGCTCCCGCTTCACCCGCACAGCCGGGACCACGGGCGTCGGGGCCTCCCGTGCGCTCACCGGCTCGACCTCCCGCTTCACACGCACGGGGCTGCCTCGGGAGCTCGGCGCCTCGGCTTCCCGCTCCCGATCTCGATCCCGCTTGACGCGACCCGAGCTGCCCTGCGACTCGGACTCGCGCTTCCCGCGGGTAGAACCACGAGATTCACGCTTGGACCGACCAGACGTCGCCACTACTCTATTCCCAGGAATTTTTTAAAAAGATTTTATTTATTTGAGAGAGAGAAAAAGTGCAGGAGCCGGGGATAGGGGAAAGGGGCAGAGGAAGAGGGAGAAGCAGACTCCCCACTGAGCAGGGAAACTGGCATATAGGGCTTGATCCCAGGACCCTGGGAGGATGACCTGAGCCAAAGGCATACGTTTAACCCACTGAGCCACCCAGACATCCCATATTCCCAGGAAATTGTTAAAGAATTTTGCCCTTGTAGCTTCTTAGCTTCTTCATAGTCTCTATGTACAATTAAGGGTTGGGGAATAATGTTGTATCTTCTTGAAGGGAAATAGCTATATAAATTATTTGGGAACTTTTGAATGGACAATTTGTCCATTCTTTCCCACTTATTTATCTCTATCATTTTTTTATGTCAGTGTGGACTTATGATTATTTATTCCATAAGCTAACTTCCAATACTTTTAGGTTTATTTTGTTGCTAGAATTATTTGTGCTTTGGCCATCAGGAAATCTTTCAGTTGGCTCCTGTGTTCTTTTGGCATAGCTCCAATGTTTTTTGTTTTTGTTTTTGTTTTTTGAGCATTTCCCTACTTTCTGGAGTTACAAGTTGTTCCAGTCTCATCTTGTGTATTTCTTGCCCCAATCTTAGCACCAGCCATTTCTCCAATGAGCCCTGGTTCCTTTTATTAGAGAATGGTATTAGAAACCAGGATTAGAGGGGTGGCTTTGCTTTTTGTTACTGGTGTGTCATTTCTCCTAGGCTTTCTTAGCAGATAGCACTAGGAAATAAATATGTACGTTCCAATCCATGTAAACACACATGAATCTATTATTACTTCTATAATATGTTTTTATCTGTACCTATATTAAAGAAACATGAATTTATACTGGTATCTCTGACGCCAATCCAGGACCACATTTTATTCTAGCCCTCCTCCCTTGCTTACCTGTAATATCCCACTCTGATGTGAGACACTTGGCTCCCATCATCCTACATCTATTTGTTTATTTGTTCAATACCTGCATACATGTACAGTGTTTTTAAATGGTTAATTCATATCCCTACAATGAATAACTTTATCAACTACAGTACATTGTTTATGTATAGCTTCTTCTGTCTATAGTCTTATAGTCTCTACTCATTTCTGAAACTACTTACATCTTTGCTTTATTTTACCAAGTTTTATAATTTTTCACATGTTTATCCTGCACACATTTTGTTAGACTCATACCTAAGTATTTCTTTTTGAGGTGGGTGCTAATGTGTTGTACATTTTGTTTTATTTTCAAATTCCAAATTGTAACATTCTATTGCCGGTATATAGGAAAGGAATCAACTTTTATTCATTCATCTTATATTTTGTGACCTTGCTTTACTGGCTTCCAGGATATTTTTGTTGACTTTGGGGGAGATTTTTTTTTTTTTTTTTTTTTTACCTAGAACGACAGAGACAGTTTTATTTATTTCTTCCAACCTGTTAAGTTCTTATTTGTTTTCCTTGTCTTACTGTGCTACTAGAACTTCCAGTAAGATGGTGGAGTGGTGAGAGAGGACATCCTTGCCTCCTCTCTAATCTTGGGGGGAAGCATCCCATTTATTATTAAGTACAATATAACTGTAGGAATTTTTTGTAAGTGTCTTTTGTCAAGTTGAGAAAGCTTCCCTTTATTTCTAGTTTCCTAAGAGTTTTTGCCATGAATAGGTGTTGGATTTTGTCAAATGCTTTTACTATATTTATTGATATGATCATGGGATTTTTCTTCTTAGGCTGTTAGTAGGGTGGGTTACACTAATTGAATTTTTGAATGCTGAACCAGCCTTGCATACCTGGGATATAATTCTTTTTATATGTTGTTGAATTTGATTTGCTATTGTTTTCTCGAGAATGTTTACAACTACGTTCATAAGAGATACTGGTCTGCAATATTCTTTTCTTGTAATGTTTTTTATCTGGTTTTGGTATTAGGCTACTGTTGGTTTCATGAAATGTTTTGGGAAGTGTTCCCTCCTCTTCTATTGTTTCTGGAGGAGACTGTAGAGAATAGGTATTATTTTTCCTTAATCATTTATTAGGATTCATTTGAGAAAACGTGGGCATGGTTGATTTCATTTGTTTTTAGTTTTTTTAAATATTAAGATAACTTTGTTAAAAGATGTAAGACTAAGTTTTCTCTTCTCATTTGGATGAATTTTGGTAGATCATGTTGTCCAAAAAAATGGATTCATTTCATCTAAACTATCAGATTTGTGGCACAAAACTATTTCTAATACTCCTGATTCCCGAACCAAGGGATCACTAGCCTTTACCACTTCTTTCACTTCTGATATCAATATTTGTGTCTTTCCTCCTTTTTCTTAATTAACCTTGGTCAAGACATTTATTAATTTTATGAACTTTTCAAAGAACCAGTTTTTGTTTTGTTGACTTTCACCATCGTTTTCCTGTTTTCAGTTTTGTTGGTTCCTGCTACAATATTTATGATATCCTGAGTTCTGCTTGCTGAAAGCTTAATTTGCTCTCCCTTATCTAGTTAACTAAAAGGGAAACTTAGCTTATTGATTTTAGATATTTTTTCCAACACATGCGTTTAATACTGTAAATTTCCCTCTAAACATTGCTTTCATTACATCTTCAAACTAAAAGTGGTGTTTTTATTTTTATGTAGTTCAAAATATTTTGTAATTGATCTTAAGACCTTCTTTAATCCATACATTATGTAGCAATACATGGTATAGTTTCCAAATATTAAAAATAATATTCCAGTTCTTTTTCTGTTATTGATTTCTAGTTTAATTCTGTTGAAGTCTGAGAACGTACTTTATATGGTTTTCATTCCTTTAAATTTATTATGGTGTGTTTCTATCTTGGGGAATGTTCCATTTGTATTCTACTGTTTTGGATGGAGTATTCTACAAACATCAATCAGATCATGCTGATTGATATTGCTACCCTGCTGTTCAAGTTATCTATCCTTACTTACTTTCTTTTATTTTTTTATATGTTAAGAAGTACCAGAGTTTATTTTTTATTATGTTATGTTAGTCACCATATAGTACACCATTAGTTTTTTTTGAGATTTAAAAAAATTTTTTTATTATGTTAATCACCATACATTACATCATTAGTTTTGGATGTAGTGTTCCATGATTCATTGTTTGTGTATAACACCCAGTGCTCCATCACCAGGCTAACCCATCCCCCCACCCCCTTCCTCTCTAGAACCCTCAGTTTGTTTCTCAGATCCATAGTCTCTCATGGTTTGTCTTCCCTTCACATTTCCCACCCTTCATTTTCCCCTTCCTGCTATCTTCTTCTTCTTCTTTTTTTTTTTATCCTTACTTACTTTCTATCTGGGGGTACTCTCTATGAGAGATGTTGAAGACTCCCACACGGATTTGTCTGTTTCTCCTTTCGGTTCTTTTACTTTTGTTTCATGTATGGAGATGATCTGTTATTATGTACATACGTATTTGGGATTGTTATGTCTTCTTGGAGTAGTCCTTTTTATCCTTATGTAATGTCCTTCTTTATCCCTCATAACTTTCCTTACTCTGAAGTCTGCTTTGTCTGAATTTAATACAGCAACTCCTGGGTGCCTGGGTGGCATAGTCAGTTAGGCATCTGACTCTTGTTGGTTTCGGCTCAGGTTGTAATCTCAGGGTGGTGGGATTGAGCCCCACGTTGGCTCCATGCTCAGCGCAGACTTTGGCTGAGATTCTCTTTCCTCTCTCTCTGACCCTACTGCTCATGTTCTGTCTCTCTCTTTCAAATAAATAAATAAATAAATCTTAAAAAAAAATACAGCAATTCCTGGTTTCTTATGGCAAGTGTTAGGTTGGTATAAATTTCTCCATTCTTTTACTTTTCATCTGAATCTTTACATTTAAAATGGGTTTCTTATAGACAGCATAGATTTGGGTCTTCTTGCTTTTGTTGTTTTAAATCAAAAGATAATCTCTGTTTTTAAACGAGTGTTTTGAAACCATTCACAAATGATAGTGATTATCGATATAGCTAGATTGAAATCTATCACCTTTATAAATGTTCCTCTTCACTGCATTTGTTCTTTATGTCTTTTTCTGCCCCTCTGCTTTTAATTGAGCTTTTAATATTATTAACCTATAAGAGTATTTTCATATTTCATATCTGCTCCTTCTGATGTTGCTGTCTTTCATTTCTTTTATTCATATGTTATAATCTCCCAATACATGGTTACTATTGTATTAAAATTATCTTTTAATTGTGAATAAAAGATAAAAAAATATATATATACTTTAATTTATTACCTCTCAAGTGTTCTCCTTTCATTACATAGATCCATGTTTTTGACCTAGATTTCTTTCTGCCTGAAGAACTGCTTTTAATATTTTATTCAGGATGAGTCTACTGGCAATTAACTTTTTCAGTTTTTGTGTATCTGAGAAAGTTTTTTCTTCTACTTCACTTTTGAAGATTTATTTCACTGCATGTATAATTTTAGTTCAGTGGGTTTTCCCTCCTTCAATAATTTAAATATTTCATTCCACTCTTCTCTTGTGTGCTTTCTGAAGAGAAGGCCAATGTAAATTTTGTCCTTGTTCTTGATGTGTAAAGTATATTTTCTTTCTGACTTCTTTTAAGATTTTATCTTTGTCTTAGGTTTTCTGAAGTTTGAGACATACCTTTTTTTTTTTTTTTAATTTAACTTCTTTTGTTTTCTGACCTTCCTAGATCGGGGATGTGGTATCTGTCAATTGATACTGGAAAGATTTCAACCACTATTACTTCAAAGATTTCTGCTACTCCATTCTTTCTTCTCCTGGTATTTTTCTCCTTCCATTTCATTTTGTAAAATTTTGATTGAATGATCTCCAAATTCAAATTATTTTCTCACCTGTGTTGAGTCACTAATGAATGCATCAAAGGCATTCTTTATTTCAGTTACTGTGTCTTTCATTTTTAGTTTATTTCCTATAGTTTCCTTCTTTTTACTGGTATTACTGGTGGGTCTTGCATACTTTCTATTTTTTCCATTAGCATACTTAACATATACATGTTAATCATGGTTACTTTAAGTTATTTTCATTCCCATATCAGTGTTTTATATGCGTCTGTTTCTGATAATTGCCCTGAAACTTCAGATTGTGTTTTTTTCTTGTCTTTTGGTATGCCCCATAACTTTTTATTGAAATCTGGACATCAAATTTTACTGGGTAATAGGTACTGAGTGACACAGACATTTAGTGCAAGGATTTATGCTAATCTGTTTAGAAGTTGAGCTGAGTTTAAGGTTTGTTGTGGCCAGAGGTACCAAAGGTTTCAAATTCCTCTATCATTTTGTTTTCCTTTCTCTTCATGGCATTGTGGCTTCCCTTTTTACTGTTCCTCAGATAAAGGCTGTGCCTTTTACAGCTCTTCTCGCTCTCTATTAATATTATGAAATCTTGTTGATGTTGTGGTGCACAGATTAAGTCTCAGCCTTGGTCCCATGTCTCAGGTGGTTCTTCACAAATGTTTCTATACCTTTTCCAGGCTCCACCTTATCTCTTATTTCCCACTTCCTTCTGTGGCAGTAGCGTTCCCTGTTTCCTTAAAGCCCAGCCCCTGATGACTATATTTCCATTTGTTTTTGATTTTCTTTTTTCTTGGGTGAGACAAGAAGCCTGGAACTGGCAGGG